GGTGGAAATGAACTATTAGTGAAATTCCTTCCGACCGCTTTAGCAAGGGACCAAAACGAACGGGAGCCATTGGGACAATCTATGAGTTCCGATCTTATCTTGACATTGTATGTTTCTTTCGAAGCATCTATTGTTTGGCTGCAGTTATTTCTGGCATCAACGTATTCTGCTCTAGTCGCGAGGTTAGGGTTTTTGCGCCAGCGATGTCCTCGCCATTAGTTTTGACTTTGTACCAGAAGTTTGATAAAACGCCATGATATAGTTTTGATGTGAAGGTTTGAGAACGAATATATCTTCAATTCAATAAAAAAATTATCTTTTTCAAATCACACATTGAATACCGAATGAGTTCTCCTTCATTTTCATAATACTCACAACCATGAATTCCAGATTCCCCGAAATTGAATACATCTTTTATTGTCCAATGTTTTGAACAAAAAATTCAGATGAAGATGAAATGAAAATCTGATTTTAAATGATTGCGAAATGGTCAATGCTCAATCGACCAAAGTATCCGCTATAAATATAAATCATTATATAACATTATTGACGATATATTCTGAATATTCCACGTGATTCTGTTTTTTTTTTCGTTTGGAAAATTATGTTGCTAAAAAACACTCAGGGTCTCCTCTAGTACCTACATACGAAGTGTTCTGTCTCCATTTCTAATGAGTTTTGTGATAGTCCAAGATTATTATGTGAAAACATGTCACTTCTAATGCACTATATGAAGACGATTACTATGAGTTGATAAAATGATACTGAAACCATTCAAGTCACAACATATATAATGTATAGACTAGAACTTATATTTATCTAAAACTATCCTATTTATTGGACGGAAGAGGTTAGAGCTCATTCATGATTTATACAATTAATCAACATAGAGAGTGATATTAAACGACATAATCTATGACATTCGAGATAACTATTTTTTGAAAAATCCTGCTTACAATTGATTGAACTTATTTCTATACCCATTGCATGAATTCAATTAGAGATTCCAATGGATTCGTTGATACTTGTCGTTTAATATCACGTGTTGATATTGAACCTACAAATTACAAGAACTAATTCTCACACTTTATGAAGCAGAAAATACAATATTTACACACCTATTAATGAGCTAAACAGGCAATAAATGAGCACACGTGTTTCAAAAAGGCACAACCTCACACTGTGTTCGTAAAATTCAAAATTATTTGATCCTCAATCCAGCATTCATTATTCTACTGATGACGAATTGAAATACGTATCATTATTCAAATGCTTCCAATCAAATCTCGTTCTTGGAAAATCCTATTTTTATCGTAAAATGGGGATTTCTGAAAACCTATAGAACGCTGTTCCTTGTTACTGAGCACAAAATATGAATCACTACTTACTACTATTACAGCCATCAAAGAACACTAGAATGAAAAAAAAAACAGTTGATATTTTATCCAAACAACTCTTCCGAGTCCCTTACATGAGTCCTGAGTTTCTCAATTTACCTAAATTTTTAGTCAATTTCCAATATGAAATTGAGAAACAATAAGTTTATACCAACATGGATAAGAACAATTTTTGGTCGCAGTTGACTGTGACCTCAAAAAACTTTTAGTTCACCTATGGATGCGTCTTACGGGTGGATGTTAACCCAAAATCGTATATGTAACTTACTACGCGGCTGAAGTGCCAGATATTATCAATATTTCAAAATTGTCTATGTAAATGAGGTGCTCTTGTTGGCATTCGATAAAATGCACAATTCTCTTCGAAAAAACTGAATCTGGAACTTGTCATTCCAAGGGCTTACGAAAATGCTTTCCCTTCAATATCTTCGACAATGTTCAATAAATATTATTTAGAACCTCTGATCAAGTATGACATTCTCATTGATTGTTCCAACTATTGTTTCTATTCATAATAGTCTCCAAAATATTAAATGAAAAACTATTTTTCAGTTAAGTACCCATTTTCGAGCAGCTGCAATTCTCTAGAAGGAATAATTTCGAATCCATGATGTTAATATCAACGTTTATTCATTTCTGTTGGTGGAATCAGCTCATGATGGATTTTGGTGATTGATTTTACTAGAAACTCTACTAGAAAAAGATTCAAAAACTTCGAGTTAATATACCCCATTGAGTGATTTGGAGATATATATCATAAGGTAAGTATTTTCCGCCTATGTATGAAAATGAACCATATTAACCCTAAAAATATGATCGCTGTAATGCATATCGTAACTTAATGGGTTGCTTAACTCAAACAACACGATTTTTCATTTTTCACTATCTATAGACATCTTTGACTGTCACTTGCGTGGCCAGTATTTTGATGTTTCACATAAATTTTCATCAAACGTCAGTGTGATCGAAGTTTGGAATCAAGAGAACAATCATGAAATTATAGTTTCTTGTTGTATTTCCCGTTTTTTATGGGTCACTCGTGCAGAAAACGCCTTAGCAGCCCTTGTATAGCTTCAGCTGCCCTCGCTTCGCTCGACCGCGGGCTGCTAATGCTCATTTTCTGCCCTTTTGACACAATATCGCATCATCATCGTAGATACTTCACATTCCAATCAAACTTCTCAATCAGCGAGAAAAATTAAGAAATAATGATGATACCGCTGCCATGACAAATTCACGAAACTGATTCTGTGACTAATAAGTAAAACACCTTCGCAGATAATAATATAATATATACAGTGTGACCCACTTCTAATGGATCCACCCCTGTGTCTTACGTAATCGTTGGGTAAGGATCCTGAGATTTGCTGGAGCGAGATATATACCAAAAATGCACTCTATGACCAAGTGGGGTCATCTTCAGTGATATACACTGCTCGCCAACAGCCATGAAACTACCCCATTTTCCGGAAAATGATTTTAGGAGTCAAAATAGGTCGAAAATCACTTCAGATTTGGAATCAGTACGCCCAATTTATTACTAACTATTCAAATTTTTTCTGGAAAATTTTCAGTTCGTAAAAAGTCACGTAATTGACTTTATCTTTGGACTTTCTCTTCCTCCGGCAAATTTCAGAACCCTACCTCAATAATTACGTGAGATACGGGGGTGCTTCCATAAAAAATGCGACAGAATTTCATCTTTCTGAACTGAAAATTTTGCAGGAAAAATTTGATTAGTCGGTGAATTGGGCGTCCTGATTTCAAATCTGAAGTGATTTTCGACCTATTTTGACTCCTAATATCATTTTCCGGAAATTGGGGTAGTTTCATGGCTGTTGGCGAGCAGTGTATATCACTGAAGATGACCTTACTTGGTCAAAGAGTGCATTTTTGGTATATCTCTCGCTCCAGCAAATTTCAGGATCCTTACCCACCGATTACGTAAGATACAGGGGTGGTTCCATTAGAAGTGGGTCACACTGTATAATAATAATAATAATATGCGATCAAATTCATTTCTGAAAATTCTGGATAGTTTGATTAATGAATTTGAAACTTCGAATCGAATAGAAAATATAGACAATCTTTCAATTAGATGCACATATGTACATCCTGTAGGTACTTTTATTCTACCGTAATATTTTCGGCCAAATTGACGAATGAATAAAAAATTACGCACCAACTAGAGTTATTATCATTCTCTCGTAAATATTTGAATTTTGAATTAACTGCTCTCAAGTAAACAGTAACGATATAAATAGGTTAGATAGCAGAGTTGAAATAGCAGTTGATATCTCATTGTTGTAACCTTATAATGCACTTTGGCACAGTTTTTCGTTATATATTTTCAGTTGATTCTTTATAATTTTCATAGTATGCATGGGCATACTTAGTTAATGATTTCATATTTATTCGTTGAGATTATAAGAAATTGTGGTTAATTGTCCTGGTGTTTGAACCAAAATTGAGCAAACGAGAATCCTATCATGAAAAAACTATATACAGATTCAATAATTATACATATAGCTTGTGTCGGGATCAGTTGTATAAACCTGATTGTTAACGAGGATTCAACTCTCTCTTAACACATCATACCATGAATACAAACAAACAAACAATTACAATTTTTTTTTTCGTTTGTCAAAAAATGCTCCATGCAATCGAACTCCATCTCATTTAGTGAACTTGTCAGAACACACTAGTTTGTCGAAATATTTCAGGCCGAAACAAAATTAATTTGGAGTAGTGTAAATTTTGCGGAATGTATTCTAGAATATGTCAACCCGCTGAGTATTTTTTCGAAACCTTAGACAAACCGCCCTGTATATTCTAAAGTTACTGAACAATACTTTGAATTTCATCGATGAGAATATACCTAGGAAATATATTGAGAATATACAAGTGAAATGAAATGTTGGCGATCCAGTTTTCTGTACTGTTATATGGTTTCAATTCCAGTTAACTCAACGTTTTTTACCAATAAGGATTCTTCACGATATACCTATACTTGACGTCACCATATTTCTTATCGAGTTTTCTAAACTTTTCACACAGCTAAGTTGCTCTAAACACAGTTTCCCGCTAAATGAGATCAAATTCAGTATACAGGTTGTATCGAATCGTTACATATAGGACATGTGAATGACAACATGATTCGGCTGTCTTACTTCTTCATTATGCATTGTGCGCCTCACTGTATTACTGCTGGTGTTGCTCTCCGCATCTCTCCGTGACTGCGATATGTTACCAAATGCCATTTTTTCTTGAAACTCCTATATGTAACGATTCAATAAACTACCTGTATATCCGCATAAACTCAGAAGTTTATGGTTCCAATGTAAACATCCACGAAATAAATTACAGCGAATCCAACAAGGAATCGAGTAGTTCTAACTGGCAGTCGTCCCAACCTTTGGTTGCCAACAACAAACCTGTTAGTTCATCTTCACCTAGTAAATTATGTACAGGTTCCGTTATAACGGACTGGTTTGGCATGGATTCTGGAATAAAATCACTTTCGACTGAATTATCGGTGAGTGCTCCATCCGTCTTATCTTCTTTGATTTTGAGCTCCGTTGTTTTGCGTATTTTTTGTTCGACTTTCTTTTCTTTCTTCTTGATATCCTCGAGATTTTCAATATCAGTTTCCCCACATATTGATATGTTGGAGAGAATATTGTGTTTCCTTTCCCCTGGGTTCTGGGATGAGCGATACCTTGAAAATAATTACCATAGTTAGTAGGTTCGAGTATATGTTGATGAGCAGTTTTAGAAGCCTCATAAGTATTGTGATATTGAGAAAGCATTTGATAGATGATGAAAATTTCCTGATCTATAATTAGTTGAATCTTTGGTATCAGTAGTTATCTGGGTTCAAAGATGACATGGTTTAGTTTCAAATAGAAATGTTTCAGTTGGGGTATGTTCTATTGTAGATTAAAGTTAGATTAACATTGGCGTCTTTGAATAAACACCTATTTGAGTTTCTATTCTTGGGGCCGGTTGCATCAAAATTTGGAGAGACGATCAAATGTCGAAGTTGTTTATATCCATGGCAACGTGAGCATTAGCTAGTGAGTTGGGAGAATGAATTTTACGTTCAGTAAACATGAAGGTTGATGCATTAGTTAATAGATATAGCTTATTTGAGTTTTGATAACTGTTTGAGCCTTAAGGTTCGATTAAAATTGTAGTCCATCGACCATCTTCTTGTTTTTCTGTTGTATATAGCCAACAATCTAGCCCGAACACTAAATTTCAGATATGTTGTCGATCACTTCTGTACCAGCCTGGAACAATTTCATGATGCATTCCCAAATGCAAATATCCCATAATGATATAAATATATGCCCCCTTCCTCAGGTCTTTCTGTAGGGACTTGTCGAAAGGCACTGCAGAAAATTCTCCGAATTTATCCCTACTTCTGTACAAGAACTGAAACTACCTGATTTTGAAAGGAGAATCCGATTTTGTCATTGGTTCAATAAACATTTGAATGATAATGATGTGCTGGGTTTAATTTTTCCACTGATGAAGCCTGGTTTATGATATGGGTCACTTGATGGAATTTTTTTGTGGATAACCCCTAACATTGCGCTTTAGTTTTCCCATGAATCATGGCACCACCGAACGGTACGGTCAATTGGCAGGCAATACGAAGTAAGGAACGAGATATTATGCTTCTCATCATGCTTTTTTCTAGTTTATTTCTTCATTCTCAAAAATTCACAAGAAAAGAGGGGCCATTCTTCTAGACAACCTAGCCTAACTCTGCCGTTCGTTTGGTACTTACAGTCTGGAAAAGTCGGAAGATGAATAGAAGAAGTTGAAAGAAGTTATCGAGTAATTCTCGCTTGTAATACACCAAGTGTATTGATGATTATCGAAACACAAATTCCTTCGATTTTGAGAAACAAGCGCGAGTGTGGTTGCCTAAAAGCAACACAATTTGTTTCGAAAAAGAGAAGGAATTTTCGATAATCATCAATTACACGTGTTGTATTTGTCAAGATTATTTCATGAATGAAAAATAAACCATTTTCACTACCTATTTATTGTTAATATTTATATTGAATGTACAGTTATTGCAATTATTTATTTTGACATAGTGACATTCATCATTACTGCTACTAGATGCAACCATCGTGGATATATCCATATTATCTTCTTTTCTGAGGTTTGATATTATATCAGCATGATGTTCTTTGCTCAGTTGTAAATATGGTTTCAATGACATTGAACTACTGTGCCCAGTAACTTTTATTATCTGTTGTTCCCCAATTCCAGAACTTGCCAATTGACTCACAGCTGTAGATCTGTTTGAATGGTTTGATATTTTCACGTTTTTTGTATCTAAACCGATCTTTTCAGCTGACAATTTGGTCCATTTACTTATTTCATTTATACCCATTGGCATATTTTTAAACCAAGGACTTTTATGATCTTTATTCCAATTACCATTGTACTGTCAAAAATAGTCGATCAGTTTTAATGTTCTCTCCCCTTTTTGACATCAATTTCTTGAATAAACGAACTGGACAATTTTCTTGATTTTCTTTATTTGACACAAGCCATTTACTTTCTGCAATATTTTTTGATCCACCTTGTGCGGTTTTCGCGAATATAGGGTTATACTCCAGTCTTCCAGTTGGTGTTCCCTTGTTATTTATTTCTTCCTTGAAATAATGAATCAAACATCGGCATGCTTCACCGCCCCGCCAAGCTAATTCCACTGCTATAATATGATACAGTTTCCTTTGTAATCCATTTGGAGTATTTTCATCCCAACTTTGGATAATTTGTGTCAATTCTTCCGATGTAAATGAAACACATGACTTTTTTCGTTTTTCCGGAATATTTTGTAGTTGTTTTTTTTTTTAGTATTTTTGGCATTTCTAGCAACTTCAAATGTTATATCTTTGAATGGATCAAATTTTCGATTGTAATCATGATAGTATTTTTCTTGGAGTAATTCAGCTGTATTATTCCAAATAGTTTTCACTACCATGTCCTTATACTCACTGCCATCGGTTTTCCGCATATCAAATGCCCATTCTGTGAGAATATTGGCAAGTCTTTCATCAGATGTATTTTCGTTTAGCTGATGATTTCGCTGTTCACAAAATTCTGTGAATTGTTTCCAAACATACTTTTTGTAACGCACGGTATTTTGAGGCGTTAAGTCTTTGACTTCATTTCTTATTTCTTCTACACTATATTTACCGAAACGATTTTCACTGTCCATTTTCAAGCTATACACCACACCTAGTAACGATATTTATCAACATATAAACAGTTTTGTTTTCTTTGATTGCTTCACAACTGGCCACAGCCTTCTCAATTGAGTTTCCCGCAATCGTGATCCCGCATTCACTCTTCCTCTTCACTCGCGATCGAAGGTACTAGGGATGTTATGCAACTAACAATACATTAAAGCGTTGAATGGATAAAGCAGCGTACATCATAGGGAGTGAGAAGAGAGAGATGTAGAGATGTCACGTCAGTCGTGGTTGAAAAATTATTCCTATTTTAGGTTATATCATGCGAATCATGCTCAATCAATAATTATTTGGAATTGTCTTATAATAATTGTGAGGACAATTCAAATTGTGATAGTGCCTATTGGGTTTTGAATAGAAGTGTAGTGTTTTTATTCCCTGAACACGAATATATTATGACAGCATTTATATCCTGCTGTCATGCTACAAAAACTCAAACAGTAAGTAGCCAATCAGGTGCCGAAATACAAAATCGATAACATAGTGTTTTCGATTATCAATACAGCTGTTACAACCAATCAAAAGCGTGAATTTTCAGATGAATGAAATAATCTAAAATACATTCCTAAAATTGATTGTTTCTTGTATAGAAGAATCCTGATTTGTACGGAAGTTATTCTGATTTCATGAAGAAATACATCGAATCTGACCATATGTCAAAATTCGAGCCATCTGAGAAACGAACCTGCTGAAGTGTGTCTGAGAGTAGTACAACAAAATTGAGGGTAGTGTTTGACGTCAAGTGGTGTTTCCTTGAACGACAAACTTCCTGGGTGGGTCCTACATTGCAATTGAACATTGCAACAATTTTGCTAAACTTTCGTATGCATGAGGTAGTTTTTATGGCCGATATACGCGCCAAATGTATCGACAGATACTTGTGATAGATGATCATAGGGATTTTCAACGTGTTCTGTGGCGATTCTCTGATCATGACGATACGGTAACGTATGGATTGGGACAAAGTCCCTATTCGGCAATAAGAACTTTGTTCCAACTAGTGAGTGATGAAGGTGATAATCATTCTTTGGCTGCGGAAGTGTTGAGGTCGAGTATTTATGTGGACGACATAGTAAGTGGTGTACATTCTGGAGCGTGTCTGTGAGATTCAGAAGGAGTTGATTGATTTGCTTGATAAAGTTGTTTTTCTTTTGCGGAAATGGGCAAGCAATCGTGCTGAAGCATCGTGTTCTGTTCCTGTTGTTCAAAAATGGAGGTAAATCATTTTTGAAGGGTTTGGGTTTGCATTGGTTCGAATTAAATACAATTTATTTTATTGAGTACGTTGATATGTCGTCATGTTGAAGGGTAAGAAAACGATAAATGAGTAATTTTTGTAAAAAATAAATGATAGTATTTGGCGACGGCATCGTATGAATCAGATGCGGCGTAAATGATGGAATTCGACACTGTATCCTGGAGTTAATGTCGAATGGAACGTTATACGTAGAGTATTTGTCATGTAAGGCCTGTTCGTTTGTGCTTGCTCTACCTTTTTTTCCATGACTCTCTCTGTTTACATCATGCCATGAACAGAGACAACTATGGGAAACGAATCAACTTCAGCAAGTTCAGCAATTCAAACGAACAGGCCTGTAAGATCTCATGTCTCATTAGTGCGCTTCAATTCAGTATCTATTCGATTTTCGGAGAAGAGAAGATTATAACTACCTATGCACAATTCATATCGATGCCTACTAACCTTTTTGTTTTCCTAGGGGGTTTCAACACTTTTTCATCGGAAGAGTGCCTATTTCTAGGTACCCGAACCGTCAAACTGGACCTTCTCTTCGATCTCCGAGATTCTTCTAGCCTTTCCAGATCTAATTTCCAGAACCCTCCTTTTCCCGGCTCGTCCTTAGATCTGGGGTGTTTCATGAAACACTTATTCAAGGACAGGTTGTGCCTTATTGAATTCTGTAACAATATACTTATTGAAAGATCGAGAAACAAAAAAGCAATAATGGTGGACTAGTTTTTTAATTATGAGCCGATTGTATCGAGGTCGGAGCTTATGTTAATAATAATAATATAATAATATATGTGTGTTTCTGAAACTTTTGTGGAACTAACTCTGTGGAATATGGAACATTCCACCTATATACTCTGTAATGTTACATTGAGATGATTCAATTGGAATGTCTCTGCTTGATTGATTGATTGATTGATTGATTAATAGCAGAATGATCAGTCAGGGTTTGAAGCCTAAAACACTGCAGCCTTTGGGCCTATTGTATTCCTGATCATGCTGTTGACTTAGGTGAACAGGTTCGCTACCTTGATGAGGTTTAGCAGCCTCTTCACCAGATCATTCTTTGAAAATGCCTCTTGAGAGTTTACTGCTCCCAGAAGGTTGTATCTCCAACGCGCTAGTGCTTCGCACTCCAGTATTACATGGGTGGCAGTTTCCTCCTCCTCATTGCATAGTCTGCATATGGGTTCGTCTGTATAGATGCCCATTTGATGCATATGTTTCCTCAAGGGGCAGTGACCGGTTATTAGTCCCGTCACTTGTTTGATCTGACTTCTGTTTAGGCTCAGAATGTCGTTAGTCACTGTTTTGGACAGTGTTCCAACCATCAGTTTACTGTGTCTTTGTCCTGGGACATTGTTCCAGTATGCCTGATGTCTTTCTTGCATCCACCTTGCCAGCCAGCCGCGTATTGAGGTTTTGGGGATACCGAACACAGGTTCCGGCCCCATAAACAACGTCGCAGACCCTTGCCGGGCAAGAGCGTCAGCTGCTTCATTGCCTTCAATTCCCTCATGCCCTGGCACCCATTGAAGAGTTACCTTGTTGTGGTTAGCCAGGGGTTAGCAGGCTTTGAAGGCAATCCCAGACCAATTTTGATCTGATTTTATTGCATGTTAGAGATTGAATGGCCGCCTGACTATCTGAGCATATGAGGATTTGTTTACCTCTGTATCCTCTTACGATATTCTCTCTCAGGCATGCCTCAATAGCATGCACCTCTGCCTGGAATACTGAAGCATACCTCCCCAAGGAAAAGGACCCCGCACTAAACTATAGGGAAAATGGCTCTCGATGAAAATCGCTGAATTTTTGGTATGTTGCAGACTTTGATATACTCAACAAATATTCCATTGAACGAACCTCAATTAATGGACAGTTTTTCCGATATAGACCTCCAAATGTCATTTTTTTACCAAAAAAAAGTATCTGAAAATGGTTGAATATTTGGCATGTTGTAGATAGGAATGAACTGATGAAAAAATTCAATTGACCTGACCTCCAAAAATTGACAGTTTTCTCGATATTGACCTCCAAGTGTAATTTTTCCAAGTAAAAAAATCTCTGAAAATGGCTGAATTTCTGGTATGTTGTAGATAGGAATGAACTGATGAAAAAATTCAATTGACCTAACCTCAAAAAATTGTCAGTTTTTCGATATTGACCTCCAAGTGTAATTTGTCCAAGTAAAAAAATCTCTGAAAATGGCTGAATTTCTGGTATGTTGTAGATAGGAATGAACTGATGAAAAAATTCAATTGACCTAACCTCAAAAAATTGACAGTTTTTCGATATTGACCTCCAAGTGTACGTGTGGAAAATACGATAAATGGAACAATAATCAATAGACAAAGTTGCTGTTTAATTAATTAGTATTTGGCCTTTCATTCTTCTCAAAACAAATCTTCTTCATATGATACATGCACAGGTGAAGAAAGCCGGAGAGGGGATGTAATTAAATAAATATTATTTTAAAAGATGGTTATAGTCTTTCCGAAATCAATGGGGTTGTAGGACTTATTGTAGGTATACACTCTAGTCGAATTTATGCCATATATCTATTTTATTTTGATCATTCCATCTATTATAAAATTCGATACACCCCAAATATAATCAAAATAATCACCTCTCAGCAACAGTATATAGCCGCCAATGACGTGACATTGACATACCGATACCGATAAGCACTTTCAGATTTTTATTGCTCAACAACCAATGAGAATATTTCCAAATTCTTCATAGAATTAAGGATTTATTTCCACAGTAGGAGTGGAGTGTTGTGTACTGAAGTATACACAATACATGAATCATATCGTATAGTATGATTGCAATGGATTGATCGCGGTATATCACGTCATCACGCGTTGTCCCACAATTTTCATGTTATGAAATTTCGTGAATTTCAATAATTATTTACCATATGTAAAGAGATCTGAAGAGAGAACGGTCTGCGACAGTGAACAAAAACTGTCTATATTTTGAGGTTAGGTCAATTGGATTTTTTCATCAGTTCATTCCTTTCTACAACATATACCAGAAATTCAGCCATTTCCAGAGAATTTTTTTCTTGACAAAATTGCATTTGGCGGTCAATGACGAGAAAACTATCTGGAGGTTAGGTCAATTGGATTTTTTCATCAGTTCATTCCTATTTACAACATGTCAAAAATTCAACCATTTTCAGACACTTTTTTCTCGAAAAAATGACATTTGGAGGTCAATATCGAGAAAACTGTCAATTTTTGGAGGTTAGGTCAATTGGATTTTTTCATCAGTTCATTCCTATCTACAATATGCCAAAAATTCAACCATTTTCAAATACTTTTTTTTCTCGAAACAATGACATTTGGATGTCAATATCGGAAAAACTGTCCATTTTTTGAGGTTAGTTCAATGGAAGATCTGTTCAGTATATATAAAAGTGTGCAACATACCAAAAATTCAGCGATTTTCATCGAGAGCCATTTTCCCTATAGTTTAGTGCGGGGTCCTATGCGAATAAAAAAATTGTGTTTCAATCTCATATTTGAGAAACTGAATGAAATTCAAGACCGATTCGACGAGATTTGTGATAATAATCTGTATACTAAGATGGAAGTAAATGACTAGGTACGTATACTCTCAAGGGCACATATCTCGCTGACATTCTTTAAAAATAGTTTCTTCACTGTGACGGGAGAAGAGTTTGACATTTCATCTTTATTGACAGGTTATAAAATGCCACTTTTCATAAATTAATTTTTTCCCATGGGAAAAGTATAAACATATACACTGTTGATCGCTTTTGCTGTGCTAGTTCCGAAAAATATGCCAATAACACCGTGTCCAAGAAAGAATTACAAGTCCTTCTATCTTTCATTCCACTTAGCGGTTACCAAAATTAATGAAAAACCACTATGAGTTCGCAATTTTTGAAATCAAATCACAGAATTGGACTGACAGATTTTCGATAACTTCAAAAGAGTGATAAAGATGCCTACAAAAAGATGCCTGCAGCGCAGGTGTAATTCCTGTTGAAATCTTCAAATTCCACTTCCATAATTTTCTGATTTGAATATAATGTAATATCTTCTTTATATTCAGAGTGACCCATTTGAAAGCGGGCCACCCCTGTATCTCACGAAATCGTTGGGTAAGGATCATGAAATTTGCTGGAGCGAGAGATATACCAAAAATGCACTCTATGACCAAGTGGAGTCATCTTCAGTGATATACACTGCTCGCCAACAGCCATGGAACCACTCCAATTTCCGGAAAATGATATTAGGAGTCAAAATAGGTTGAAAATCACTTCGGATTCGGAATCAGGACGCCCAATTCACTAACTCTTCATATTTTTCCTTGAAAATTTTCAGTTCTGAAAAATTAAATTTTGTCGCATTTTTCACGAAAGCACCCCCGTATCTCACGTAATTGACTTTATCTTTGGACTTTCCGTTCCTCCTGCAAATTTTAGAACCCTACCTCAATAATTACGTGAGATACGGGGGTGCTTCCATGAAAAGTGCGACAAAATTTAATGTTTCAGAACTGAAAATTTTCAAGGAAAAATATGAATAGTTAGTGAATTGGGCGTCCTGATTCCGAATCCGAAGTGATTTTCAACCTATTTTGACTCCTAATATCATTTTCAGGAAATTGGGGTGGTTCCATGGCTGTTGACGAGCAGTGTATATCACTGAAGATGACCCCACTTTGTTATAGAGTGCATTTTTGGTATATATCTCGCTCCAGCAAATTTCATGATCCTTACCCAACGATTACGTGAGATACAGGGGTGGCCCGCTTTCAAATGGGTCACTCTGTTGATCAGTCTCATTTTCTGTCACAGATGAAAATAGGGTACTTTTCACAGATTAGATTTTAGCTCACGTTTTTTTATGTCTTCCTCCACTACGCGTCGGGAGAAGTCACACAACCTCGAGCTAAAGTCTAGTACTTTTTCCCTTGTATAATAAATAACTATTACTTCTCGAGAATATTGCGATAAGATAATGACATTCATATGGAGCAGTGCCTGAACATTTCGCGGTTCTGTTAACAAAAAGGATTTATTTCTCATCGTATTCCTTTATTTTCTTTTTATCTGGCATTATTTCAACTCATCTTAGTTTTTTTTTATCGCTTGGAGCGCACGAAAGGGAATTCCTATGATGTTCAAAGAACATCGTGCGTTCCTAGGGAGGATAAGGACAGGAGGTAGGTATTGGCATTTTTTTGAACTTCTGGAGATTATATGTTGTTGGGAATACTTTCACAGGCAATGAATTCCAGAGCCTAGCCGTTCTATGGATGGAGGAGTCTTGATAAAGTGCTGTTCGACATCTTCCGAAGTTGACAACGGAAGGATGTGCTGACTGGGCATGTCTAGTTCGTCTGATTGGTATTGCTAGTGAAGGGATGATAGCAGAGATGTCCGAAGAACATTTCCCGTGGAAGTATTGATAGAAAAGTGAAAGGTCGCCGACCTTTCTACGGTGTTCCAATGATGTCAAAGAGTTAGTGAGTGTGGCGTCACCCACCAGGCGAATGGCTCTTCTCTGGCTGGAATCTAAGAGCATCAGCGTATGTTTTGGTGCTGAACCCCATATGTGGGAACAGTATTCTAGAACAGGCCGTATCTGCGCTTTGTAGATCATGAGAAGCAGTTGAGGTGTAAAGTAGC